AGCTGTGGTCGGCTGTGGTAGGTGTGAAAAATACCTATTCGTATTTGAATGCGTTAGTATAATTCAACGCGAAAGTTTAAAATTATATATTTCTATACATTTAGTATATTTATTGTTATTGTTGTGAATGTATATCACATTTTTTTATGTAGTTTGCTATTTTGTTCATATTTTATATGTAGTAAATTATTATAACTAAACAAATTATTAAATATATAGCTTTATTACAAGGTGTCTTAAAAAGTCCTTATAGTTAAAGATGTTTGTTGTCTATATTGGTACTAAAACGTAGTGTTTCTTGGATTGTGTTTTATATTTAAGTATATTAAAAAAAATACTGACTGGTACCCAACATAAAGTGGTCGTTACATTGACAGAGGCTCAATTGTGCCCGCTTACGACATAATACTGTGCACGCGCTGTAGGAATGGTGCGGGTATAGCCCATCTTCGTTTTCGTTGTGGAAATTGCAAGCTCGCTGTTTAGGTGTTGTCTGTACAACTAGAGGATCGTTTTCTATATTCCGTACTGCTACTTGACGTCTGAAAACAGAATTTTAAGGATCTAAAAGTGTAACGTCAGCGGCATGGCCGCTCAAATTTTTTTCTTTCTTTCTTTTTGCATTGGAACACGGATGGGCAAGCGCCCGGGTTTTAATCGGGTTTAAATTGGATTAGAGTCCATTAACGCCCGAAATCAAGGAGAAAAAGTGTTTACAACTATTTAGTTGTAAATCGAGTCTAGTTAAAATTTCATGATATTACAAAATGTTATTGTTTTATGATTCATGTTTGTTTGTTTTCTGATCTAACGATGCGATTTGCATTTCTGTTGAATAGATTCGCTTGAAAATCGCGTTGAAATAAATCGATTCAAGAAATCGTTAGATCGTATGCACTTGAATCGAACCTTTTAAGACGGCTTCTTGTGCCTCTCGTTTCGCCATTTCTGCTCTCGATTTTGGGTAGAAATGGGCTTGTTGGCTTTGGGTAAAAACCTGGTTGAAACCCGGGCGGGTTTATTGGGTTTTAACCCACTGCCCACCTCAGTATCTAAATAGGTGGAAAAGATAAAATGTGCGCGGTGTACAGCTGCAGCTCTTAAGCTAATTAGGCCTTAAAGGCAAGTCATTTTTGGACCATGAAATTGTTGCTTTTGAAATTGTTGCAAACTGCATTAACTTTTGACATCAATGTTTGTGTTGTCAGTAGAAATTATTTGTTCTAAAACAATTGCAATCAGTTTCTTTTTTTTGCAAATCTTACTTACAGCCATATTATTTCTGTAGCTATAGTGCGCATTGTAGGTACTAAGACGTAAACAATATATTTGTTTTGAATTTCTAACAGTATCCAACCATGTTACATAAGATTTATTTAAATTACATTCGTGTACCATGCACCTACATTTAAAAAAAAATGCACATTGATTGTATTGAACATAAGTGTGTTACCACCTTGATATTTATGTAAGTATTTTTGTGAAATACTCAAGCTCATTTATTCCTTTGCGGTTAAGTCGTGGGGAACGGGAATCCGCATAGTGTTGGAACACATTTTCGATTGCTTTACGGTAATTATTTTTCTTGTAGATAATTATTCAAATTGCGGAAGAAATAGCAGTCCGTATCGTTTCTGCCAGTCTTGGCAACATTTCTTCACACCAGCAATCAGCAGTTATCAGTTGACTAACAATTTTTTGTGGTTAAAGTGTTTTTGTCCACTGGTTGATTGTTTGTGAATATCAAAGAATCCATTTTTCATCACGATTGATGATATTAATATAGTCTAGGGCTGAGATTTGTAAAACAAATTTTGCGAATTGCTAAAACTCAAAGTTTAAGACTTGGCAAAATTCGTTTTCTTGAGATTTTTTGTGAAATAATTCCACTAGTTTTGTTATGATTATAAATACAAAGATCGAACACACAGAAAAACATTTTATTTTCGTCGACATGGTGGGATTTGACAGAAAACTGGATCCGTGGCTCAGACGGTTAGAGCAATGCTACGGTGCAGCATGGACCTGGGTACAAGTGTCACCCCGCGTCGACGAAAATTTTTCTGTGTATTCGATCTTTGCAAAAAAATTTACTTATCTCGCCATTTTTGTTTGGTCGAAGTCATCGTAGCAGTAGAATTCCTTGTGAAAGAGTTCGTTCCGGGAAGTACTGTCACCTTATCTATTTCTGACGCCACGCAATAGTGTGTGCATTACTGCGTTCCGGTTTTGAAGGGTAAGGGTGCTGGTGAAATTACAGGCACATGGGACTTGTCAACTAGCCGTGTAACCGCCAGGCGCACGATTTGCTCGTCCCGGCACTTGTTATCATAAAGAAAAAAAAAATTATTTTTAAACCTAGCCCAAAAACTCCTTCAACGTGTCTTAGCTGTTGTTCTTATCTTTTTCTATTCTTATCGGTTCTAATCGTCTAACCAAAAACGCATAGTGCATTGTACCAGCTCCATACTAGTTGTTAATGTTTCGCGTCGTTAGCTCTACGCCGGATCTCGTATTAAATAAAACCGCTGATATGTGTATTATTAATCATATCACCCTGAGGTTGTCTGGAAGTGATTGCTATCTAACAATAAGGCCTCTGTTGTACTCTGTCATTTATCTTTTATTTCTTTTATATATTTGTTTACTTCTTGTGTGCAATAAAGAGTACTTGTATTCTAAGTGAACCCAAACGAAAACAAATGAATAATGCTAAATTTTTAACTTAAGAAGCCTTAACATTTTATTTGAAAAAAGTTTATAACGTTAATGTTAAAGTAAAAATACTTTATTTCACTCCAAAGAAGCAGACCTAAAATTGTGTCTAAAAAATTATAATTTCATCTTTAACCCCTATTAATTACTACTTATATTATACAGTTCTACGAAAACTAATGTATTTATTAATGTGTGTATGTAGTAAGTACGCTGAAAATAGGCGGGTACATACTACTCTTACCGATGGCTATAGCCAATTTGTATCTTCATAGACGATGATTGTAAACTAGTGATAGTCGGCACTTCATCGTCTCCTAATGTGTACATCTGGAAATATGAACAGAGTAAAAACATTATTGGCCTTTTGATAATGTCAAAATCGGATCAAAAATTGCACCCTCTTTGCGGGTCTTGGATCACAAGATAATGATAAACCCTGAACTAGTTGAGTTTAGTTGCAGTAGAGCTCCTTGTGAAAGATGTTGTCCAGGGAAGTATTGCCACCCTACCTATTTTTGCCGTAAAAGTAGCAAAATGAGCATTACTGCGTTCCGGGTTTGAAGGGTTATGGTGCTGATGAAATTACAGGCACATGGGACTTGTCAACTTAAGTCTCAGGGTGTCAGGCACAGTAGTAGTGCCCGGAAGATCTTTACGATTAAAAGCTCTAAGTGACGCTGCAACTGTTATGTACAGGTTAAAACATCATTTTACAGTGACGCGGAGTGCTCCGTACGGAATACTCTCCGCGTGAACTCCGCACAAGTCAGTTGTGCGTTCATCTTAGGAGACTGTCTTCCGTAAATATCCGCATTAGATTAAATACTCGATTCTGGGGGTCTACTCCGTCCGACACCCGTCCGAAACAATTACTGTCAAATAAGTAATATTCGATTAAATTAAAAGACAAGTATCAAGTATGAAGCTTCAATCGCATCACGCGTCTTTTCATTTGGTCAAGTATTGCTTATTTCACTGAGCACTGCGGATTGTACGCATGCGGATGGTCCACAGGCGGACAGTACCGTACGCACAGCTGTGAAACTAGTTTTAGTAACATCAATTTCACAGTTAATTTTATTAGCATTTATTGTTACACATTTTGTTTTAGTTTTCTGTATTAAGATTAAGATAGAAAGTTTATTATTTATTGTATAAGTTTTAAGAAATTATGTATTCAATAGCCTTACCGAGGACGGTATCAACACCTCAAATCTGATCACACACCGTTGATTTTTCATGCTACCGATCATTGGATACGGATTTTGCTTCCTGAAAAATATTACATTTACCTTACCATCATATTAGATGATACAATATCATAATGGTAAATATTCAGGGTGCTCCAAAAAGGTTTCATTATATTGCAGCTGGTGATATTACGTTTAAAAATGATTATTAATGTATATATAATAATGTTCGGGATATTTAATTTAATTCTTTGTTTGCACGTTGCTCGTAAGTAAGCGTATAGTCAAGTCAACAACGCGCCCAAGAAACGTGGTCTCGTGTTGTTAAATCGTCTGGTCGCTGAGGTTCAGGATGCTGACATCTTGTACGACAGCATTAGCAAACTAATTTCTAAAGCAAACCTAGCGTATCAAATATTTAGTATAAGTAATTAGCATGTAAGCATTTTGGTTGTTACTGGAAATTGTTTACATTGTGTTGTGATAAATTAAAAAAAAATCGAATTTACCATGAGCTTTTCGGTGAAGGAAAACTTCGTAATGAAACTTACATGTTGAAGAAGGTTCACAACCCTCGGAAAACGTGTGAAGTTGCCAACCTGCATTGGACCAGTGTGGCGGGCTATGGCCTAAACCCTCACCTGGGAGGAGACCCGTGCCCAGCAGTGGGATGTATAAAAGGGGTTGATGATGACGATGAAATGAATAAATAAAGTCAAAATTTGCATTATCTTTTTAATGACATGACTTCCCAAAGTGGTGCATATCATCCCTTTGTGGGTAGGGGTAGAGGCCTCGGAAGCAAATAGGGCGTTGATTTTTTTTGAAAAAAACATGAACTATCTATACAAACGGTACGCTTAATAAATTTTTCATTAATTACATAATTTGTATATAATTTTTTGTTTGTTTTGTATGTGATTTTAAGTTAAGTTAATATAAAAAATACGTGTATTCAATTATTTTTTGTAGTGGTGGGCGTTGAAATTTATTTATCTTGCCTAAGTGGGCGTTGAGCCAAAACGTTTGAGAACCTATGTATAGACAAAGAAACACATAAAATTATAAAACTCAATTGCAATGGAAGCGAATTTTCGTAACGACAATATACATATATTCGACTATTCGACGTGTATAGTGTAATGCGCGTAACTAGCATTGGATTGTGAGTTTCCATTTCGGTAATTTTGTGATCAAACCAAAGCCGCGTAAATGTCGTGGCAACCAAATTAGTGTGATTTACGAGAGTCTATTGTTATCAGTCCATAGGCGACATAAATTAATGTTTACTGTGCAAAAATGAATGTCGTAGCTACTGAAATACCAAAGTAATAATATATATATATATATATATATATCAAACTCGATTTGACACGGTAGCTGCGGGAATTCCGGAGACTGCGCGATAATTCTCCGGAAGACGCGCGACCTTTTTTGTCTCGTATGACATAAAATTTATTATACTATGGTTATGAAGATTCGTTTCCATTGCTAACGCGACAATGTAAATTATGCTAAATAATAACTTCGGCGGCTAACTACGTAACGTATCGTATATTCAACAGTTAAGTACTTAAATTTGTTAAAGGATTTTCAAACTTACATAGTTTGAATAGAGTTGATAGCGTAACATTTACCCATATCAGTGTCTAGTGGCAGAAAATATTCACAGCAATCGAAAGCTTTGTCATTATAAGAGCAATTCTTCAAGATGTGATGGCAATCACTACGGATTAAATTGGCGTAGTAGCTGAAATTGGACATAGGACACTGGGGATCCGGGTTGTTTGTTAAGTGACACAGTTCCACTAATGTGTAAGTAACACCTCGGAAGTAGGCAATATCTTTCAGAGCATCTTCAAGGTCGAGTAGATGATCTGGAGTCCAGATACTGAAATAAAATTTGTTGTTTGTAAATATTTAAAAAGCTTATAAAATGTTTCAAAGAATGAGAGTCTAGTCCGAGCGTAAAAAAAAATTTTGTAGTTTTTGAAGTTTGCTAAACATCGACAACGGGTAATCATAAACATTCATTATGATTTGTGAAAAGGAGCCAAAGTAATAAGTGGCTATGGGTGTTTTGTATATAATTCGTTATCAATAATAATTATATTATTATTAATAACAAAGCTCGAACACTTAGAAATAATTCCTTCGATCCGGCAGGATTCGAACCGACGTCTTCTAGCAAACCGTGTCAGACGCTTTGCCAACTAAACCACGGAACGAACCAGCGGACCTTACGAATTTTTCAATGTGCTTGTTGCAGATCTTTGTTTTTGGTTTTCAACTACTTTTTATGCAAATTCAGGAAAAATAATTGAATATCACGGTAGTAAAACATTCAACACAAATTTGACAATAACAATAATTATATTTTCATTCGGTTTCACCAGTTAATGTAACATATTCCAAATATGTATCCTTTTGTTTGTTAGGTTCTCGGTTAATTACATTTTTTAACTATATACAATAAGCTCTGTGTACTTACGTGTCAGAAACATTGTAAATCTTTTCATCGTTGGAAGTTTCACATATTGCCACGGAAGGCATTTTGGTCTCCCAGTCTGTGTACGTAGTTTCCACTCCGAAGCTTATGGGGCTTTGGACGAAGGCGTCCCAAGCTGCAATGATCAGGATCCCGGAGCCGTACCATGAGAGAGTCACCAGGGCTAACCACAGCAGTCTGAATAGTTTGAAAACAATGTTACATTGGAGCATAATACAACAAGAGAAGTAGAGCTATGCCTATTCGGCGTCGTTAGATGCCTACGGTTGTCACATTATTATTTTAGTTGTGCCATAAGTTGTAAACATAATTTAAAAAATGAAGGTATTTATTTATCACAGTATTCTCGTGCAACATTGAAATTGGTGACCTTTATTAAATGCAGTTCTTACATATTGATATTTCTATGCCAGCACCGCGGATTAGTATCTCGATGGGTATTAAGATTTTGGATAGAAATAAATGCTGAATTTCTGAATTCGAGGCACTCTTGTTCAAACAACCATAAAAACAACAATAAACCTTACCACCAGGCACACGATTTGTTGGTCGCGTCACTTGATATCTTGAAAATAACAAACACGCCTACTACCTATACACATAGCAACCGTTTCAGTTCTATAATAAATTTCGCGTGCTGTGCTACTCGAGTGCATCGCGAGATTATACGGATGTGCACTTCCGTACACGGCGTCCGGCGCGCAGACATACAAGTCGTGCTGCTACGTTTGTATGGAGTGACACTACTTGCTTTATTATAGTATGGTTTGTGTTGTATGCTGTAAGGATTTGTTGACTCTTGATGTAAAATTAAGTAGCAATGAAGTATTCTTGTATTTGTTCTAGAATCTGAGCAATTAAAACGTTAATATCATAAATATCAAAAGTAGATCTTGCAACCAGAATTGAGTCGGATATAAGTTTTTTAATGTAATTCATGGACCATTTAGAGGATAATTTGTAAGTGTAACAGATGTCATAGTTTAAGTAATGTAATGGTATGAACTTCTGTTTGAGATTTTAATGAAAAAGATTAATACTCTACACATATCTACACACAAAACTAAAATGGTATCTTTATGAACAGAAGTTTACCTCGCTTACTTCATATTCAACAGAGGTGTTTAGACTTCGATATACAATAATAATACATTGAATTTTGCCTTTGGAATGTTTCTTTGTTTCAATGGAGTATTTATGGGCATTATACATAGTCCTAGAAGTTGGATCTTTTACCTTATCTACATAATATATTGACGAATGTTTATGTTGAACTGACCTTTAATAGCAGTGTTAAATTTCATATATATATATTTGAACATGTCTTACTTGGAATCTACTGCAATGAAAACAGATTCTTATTATAGAATGAAGTCAAACCCTACATGTAATAAATCAAGATGATTTATGTTGCCTTATTTAATGTGCAATAAGCTATGCAACGCCTAATATATCTTGGACATGAATAACTTTGTTGCAAATATCGTTTACAATATCGCATCATGTATAGGTATAAATAAATTACTGCTAATTTTAAAACATCAAGAATAAGAGCGCAAGCTTTTGAGTGTCAATAAGAATTTATTTTCATTATAATATCAAGTAACGGGAGGAATAAGTCGTGTTCCTGATGGTAAGCTATACGTCTGTACATAACAGTTTCAGGGCCACTCAAAGTTTTAAATCGCAAAGATCTTAGGGGCACTACCACCGCGCCTGTCACCCTGAGGCATAAGCTGACAAATCCCATGTACCTGTAATTTCACTAGCACCCTTACCCTTCAAAACCAGAACGCAGTAATGCTCACATTACTGCTTGGAGGCAGAAATAGGTGAAATGGCAATACTGTCCTGGACAAACTCTTTCACAAGGAGCTCTACTGCTACTAAAAATTTCAATTTGCTGCTTGATAATCAGTATAACACTGATTTCAGGGTTGAGTTGGGTTCTTCATAGATAACCAGGAGATTCTTCTTTCACGCAGAGAAGAATCGTAATTTGCATAGATTTAGTGAACGGCCTCCTCTTGCTCATACAAATTCACAACGAAGAATAAATCATGATGACACAGACCTGCATGTCGGAGGTTAATGAAAGTACTTCGAAGACCTGTAACATTCAGCGCGGCATTGTGCTAAAGCGGACTATGGACTGTGATCCATGGAGTATTGTGATGTATTTAATTTTGACGTAGAAATTATAGTTTCTATGAAGGCGCGCAACTGATGCGCTGGACTGTTAAAGTGGCGAGGAAAATTGAATGAGAAAGGCACAAGACCGGAAGGAATGGCAGACATTGGAAGAGACCTGGACAGAGCATTGGGTGGATAGTAGTTGAAAAAGAAGTGCCTTCATTGGACATAAGGTTCCTGGACAGACGTACTGAACGTGAATGAACAAGGAAGTGCAACGGCGTAATTAAAAAAAAAATATATAACTCGTTACCACCTGTATTAAAAAATATGCCTTGCCTTTTGTGGACAGTACTTAAAAGTGTATACGACGTCAAATGGCTTTGGTTGATTCCGCATAGCAGTGAAAGTGTTGAATGAATCACTTTGGAAAAAATATATAGTAAAATTGAGGATATCACTGATTACTATTCGGTGTGAAAACATGATTCGTAAAAATGACCACGATGGAATTAAAACACAAACTTGCCTCGAAATTTTACAAGAAAATGCCTGTATTCAATAGGTACCAATGATTTTTTTTATATTAACTGAACTAAATAGAACACGTACAGTATACGATATACATTTTTCAAATGGCTTTAATATTTCGTTTGTAAAAAATAAATTCTGAAATAAAGTCAGTGTCCCTGCCCCTTGACCCAAGCATATTAACCCTATTAGTACGGGAATTAAATTGAATTCGAGCTGAGGTATTATGGATTCTTAAATAGTAGCACACAAAAATGTCAGTACTTTTCTTGGCATAGTGCTTATATTGATCCAAAAAATGTATACCGTATGTAATTTTTATAGTTTAATGCTGAGCAGAGTCACAGCGCTGATTTTCACCTGGAGCCTGAGAAGAGGTACATGGGTATGCCTATTTGACAAAAACTAAAAAGAATAAAGCAACAAGTATTTGATCCGTAACCTAATTAACATTTAAAATAACAATACCTAATTTAGAATAAAATTATTACAGTATGCAGCGTGCTCTTAAACAATATAAAGTAACAGAATTAATAATAAAATGAATGATGTCTGAGTTACAATAATACTAAACTAAATTAACAACTAGCTTCAACTTAATTGTTTAGCGAAAGCCAGACAAAGAATTTTGCAATGCGGCCACCTATTTTTTTGGCGTCGCCGCCACCGCGTCTCTGTTGCCGTACGCACACGAGAAGAAAGTTTTCGTGCGGCCGCCGCGCGGCTATCGCCCAATTACCACGCCTTCATGTACATTTAAATTTCTCTCAATAAAATTACCGCGCGACCGCCGCGCGGTCGTCACGCGGGCCGCCGCCGCCGCGTAGACCAAATTCAAGTCGGGCTAGCCTGCGTGTCCGGCTCATTTAAATTAAAACGTAAAGTCTAAACAAATAGAGCGTATTTTGCCATGACGGTTAGACGCACGCGGTCGCTGCGCGGCGGCAACGCGGACTCGGCTCGGAGACCGCGCGGCGGCCGCGCGTGATGAGCGCGATGAAATTCGTGTCGAATAAATGCGCCCTACTAGTACTGCCCCGGCCTAATGCTGACATTACTGTTGGCGGCAGAAATAGATAACGAATTATTTGACAAGTAACTGTATTTTTAGTAGCAATAGAGCTTTTATTGCTAACTAAAAATACAGTTACTGTTTCATGAATCAGGTTTTCTGCAGCGCCGCCCAGACAGTTGTAAGCTGTAGTTTAGGTTACGATGGAACTAACGTAACTAACTAAAATATAGGTCCGTAGTGCTTGGAAAAACTTATTAACTTCGACTGCCTCAGTGGCCGAACGGTTACCATGGCGGAATGCCACGCAGAGGTCCCAGGTTCGATTCCCGGGCCGGGAGAAATATTTGTATGGCCTACATTTATTTCTCTCGTGAGTTTGAGTGTAATTTGTGGTTGTCTATGTATGTGTCCATGGCACCCGCGACACAGGGTTTTCCTAGTGCGGGGCTATGTTGAGTGATGAGTGATGTGTGCGTTATTATTATTATAAAATGCTTGTATAACCAAGTAACAACACATTCCATTGAATAAGTTTGCGTATAAGAAGAAGAAAACAGAGTCACCAAACTGTGCTGTATGTGACGTGAATCGAATGTATGGACGTATATCATACTGATGGAGTGTGAATGAAACGATTCTCCTAGATTTGATGTAGCTGCTATGGTGATCAATTTAGACGAGTTGGCGGATGCAACAGCGTTTCGGCGTTTCCTCTATCAAGGGAAGCCAAGACGCTATATAGATTGGCGGAGAGAAGCTTAAAGTTAAAGCAACTACAACCTGCTTCATTTCTCTCTCTACTTTAATATATAATTATATGTATAGAGCGACGTAGTCGCATTTTGTGCCAAAGCTTTTTATATAAAGAAAAAAAAACTAACTAACACTAAATTAACTGTGTTCTTGTAATTATACAAGTAATATTTTAGGTAGAGTAGGTAACTCTAACAAAAAAAAATAGAGTACACTCACCTCTCGGACCAATGTTTGGTGTCGTCCGCGATAAAATGCACACCAGCGAATGAACAGTTTGAGCAATAGTCTTTTACTAGAGCTTTGCAGCTTGTTGGTGGCATTATGACGTCTGAAAATAAACTTACAACTTTTTCCGTTTTTGCATGTTAGGATAACATGTATTTTTTTAAATTGATATTTTAAGCGTTATGTAAATGACGTAACCTGCAATTTTCAACAAAGAATTTCCACACACTGCTAGCTAGCTAGCTTTAGCTACGGCCTAACGTGTCCATACGTTCCGCTTTAGAGTGGTACAGTCCCCGTTTTAACGTTTTATAAATTATTAAAAAATGGCACGATAGCGAAAAATATAATAAAGCCAGCCTACGTTTTCACAAAATTAGTTCTTTTTTTTTAATCTTTAAACACTTTTAGGTTCTTTTTTAATTTTTTTTTAATCATTGAACATTTTGTAACTTTCATAAATATGTGTTTTATTTTTAAATTTACAGGTGTTTAATAATAAATTTACAGGTGTCCCGCTCTGAGGAAAAGAAATAATGGTCGTTAGTTATACCTATAGCCCATGGAACAGTTATGCATGCTTAAGAAGAAATGAACTCACTAATAAATTAATGGTAGCCATGTTCGTGCAAATAAATTCCATGGAAGCTATTATAATATTATTACAAGGTAAATTTAATGATTTTTCATGTTGTGCAAGCGTAAATATTTGATATGATAATTGAGTTCTTGTGCAATGCTGTGTCAATACCGTGATCCGAGTGCTTCGCGTCCAAGGTCGATTCTGCATTTGTTGAAATAAAAGAAAAAAATTACGTAACAAATTGTTTTTTTATTATTATTATGTGTCTGGAATTCCATCTTACTTTAAATGTCACGGTTAAATATAATTACATAAGTACAATACACTTTGAATACCTACCTAATTAAGTTTCATATAGATATGTAGGTATAGTAAGTACATCATCCTCGAGTGTGGTATTTTTAATAGTAAAATTATAGTGTATAATAAATCACATATGTATCATGTTATTGTGCTTGATACATCTACTTGTTTGAGATAAGTAAAATGTCGTTCTTTAACTTCATGTCAGAACAGTCTTGAAAACGTTTAAGACCATCCATTGTAACTGTATAATTTAATGGGAATTAAGGATTCAGGTATATGGGTATCGTCAAATCGTTACATGCGTTGGAAATGGTTGGAACAGATTCACATTTTCTTTTTAAACCTACAAGTACGCGTGTCTTTAATCTGATAAACAAGATGCACACAATTTCGAATTTATGAATAAATATACTTTGGGCGTTTTACAGTTGCATCTAATAATCGATTTGTCGGTACGACAGTCGAAATTTATACAAATCTCAAGTCGAATAATTAATGGACAAACGGGTATTTTTTAGTATCGCTATTTACATAGGGACACGAAAATTGTAAAGAAAAACATAGATCTGCAATAAAAAAATCTACCTTGATTTTTGAAACATTGAAATTCTATATTGTTTGATTTTGAAGGTAAAAGTAACACTAAAGTACCTAAGTATTTGTCGATGAATGACAAATGTACGTTGTGGTTAAATATCGGAAAATAACAATAGAATTTGAAATAGTCTGTACTGTGCAACTACTTTTATATGCACACAAATAGCCTTTTTAAAATCATTTTATATATACCGGAGTGGTTTGGTAAGTCCGTGACATTGAGAAGAAAAAAGATTTTTTTTAAATTATGGCTTATATTTCTAAGTAATCTCCTTTTAACTCTACACCTTGACCAGCGATATTCCAACTAACCAATACTGCAACCCATCAAAAAAATATTTTTTGTCAAACTGAATAATAGGCTTCTGTTTCAGCTATCACTTTCTCATTTGATGCAAATCAGAAAAAAGTCAGATGGAGCCAAATGTGATGAATACGGGGAGTGCGGCACTAGTTCGTACCATAATTCGACAAGTTTTGATGTTCTGTTTGCAGATGAGATACGGAATACTCGAAATTCCGTTCAAAAAATATACCGACCTCACCTAACTTTTTTATTCCTGATTGTTTCTATTTTCACGCTAATTTAAAAAAGTAATGTCAGTTGCCTAGTAAGGAATTCCAAATTAAGAAATAAAAATATATTCCGAAAAAAGTTTTTAACCTCAAAGCCACGTGTTTAACAAAACGTCCTCGTATTTATATGTGTACTGGAATATGTCGAATTTCGAACACCAGCCCATTACACCATACAAAATATATTTATACGAAATTGTGACTTAGAAATAAGTATGTACATATTGTAATATATGCTTAATGTAATAATAAGAATTGTGCATGTACACGTATGCTTAATTCCGAATCGAAATAGCAATCAATAATCGAACGTCAGAGCCGGGTAGTGTAGAGACGCCCTAACCGGTAAGTGGTACCTCATCTACAATTTAGCTACATGAGTAATTAGATACCACACTATAAAATAACGCAATTATAAACTACATTGAAGAATACATTAAAATTATAAGGATTGTAAGAAGTCAGGGTTATGCAAAAAGGGAATATTATATAAGTTGATTTCTTGTTTATTGCTCTTGCGTGAATGGTAACGTTGGTAGCCAGGCTCCGGCTGGTAATGTAGTGGTCTTCGAGGAATAAACCCTGCGTGGGTCAGGATGTTGTATACTTCTTGTCGAGATACGTCGTCTGTGTCTCTGTGGTATACCTGGAAAGAAAATTTTAATGAATATGTTATTGTATGAAGAGCAACGCCGATTAATAAGATACAGCCTGACGATCTCTGTGGTCGAGTGGCTTGCACACCGGATTTCACGGTGTAGCTACCTCTGAGGACACGGCTTCGATCACAGGCCGAGTCAGTGTTGAAAATTAAAATTTCCGCCCTTTTTAAATTCCCTTGTTTTAAATTCCCTTTTCCTTCACTATGCGTTTGTTCTATTCGTCGTCACTCCCTATAAATTCTCGAAACGAGAAGAAGTAAAACTTCACGTTGATTACTATTAAAATTATATTGTTATGTAGGCCCTTTGAACCTTTCCTTCTCCTCTTTTATCATCTCTTACAATAAATCTTGTGGATCGAGTCTTCTGCGTTTTAATTCCTCTAAGGATAGGCTACAGAATAACGCCTCCAGTGCAACGGAACAAGATCAGTCAATGTGTAGCTTGATGTGCTGGCGTCAATACAATAGACAATGTGTATGCGAAATTTTACGAAATGTGGTTGTTGCATCTTTGTCACATATTGGAGTATAAGATCAAGGCTACCACCTACAAGGCATCCGTTCAGGAAAGAAGAATATAGGAAAATAGATAGTCTCATGAAGACCCTTAGAAAGACCAGAGTAACTCGTTTCTGTACTAGTGTACAGAAATGGTTACTAGAGACAATTTTATAATACTAATAATATAACTACGCGGACAGTAACTTATAACATTTAACGCGTGGTGCGATTTGTTTCAAACACATATGTCAGCGTTTTTCAAACCAACCCCTAAATATCTAAATATAGGTAAGTTACGGTATCAAATAGTTTGATAACACCTTTTCTATAGAAAATCGTATTACTTATATTTGCAGTTAATTGTCGGTTTTATATTGTAACGATACATGTTCTATGACTATCAATTTGCCACGTGCTAACTCAACCCGCAGTAGACTAACGTCATTGACGCTTATGACTGTGGGTGCCTATCGTTAGCATCAATTGGGTCGGTAGTAGTTGGCATGTACGCTTGCACCGCGATTACCAGCTATCGAAGCTTAAATCCTGTTGGGCAGTGGTTGGACTAAAGGGGAGGCTGAAGGTCCACTCGGGGCACATATTAAGGTGTCCCGCCGAAGTACACAGGCGAGATGTGCTGGGGGTTTATACGCAACATACGAGGCACACCTCTACGGTTCCTCGTCATAGCACAATGTAGTGTTATGAAGATTTTCATCACGGTCATAAATTAAGTATCTTTTGTCGTCTCTCTATATCCACATTGAGAATATTTGAACCGGGTACGTAGGTACTGCAGTCTAGTCTAAATCCAATAAACTTCAAAGTGGCGACAAAACCTCTGACTAGAGAAGACACCTCCGCTACATCCTACAATTAGGAAGTACGAAGTCTGCCTACCTTATTGGAAGATACAGTGCCGGCTTTACCTATCGCGTAGGGTATGCAGCGCACACGGGTACTGGGTCTTAGAGCCTATGCACACAACGTATTTTATACGCGCCGTAAACGCGCTTATATGCGCCGTAAACGCGTTTATACACGCCGTAATCGCGCTTATACGTGCTGTAGTGAGTGGATTCAAACGCGCGCAAGCATCGCGTTGCAAGCAAGAAGTATATATACTTCTAGCAGCAGTAGAGCTCGTAATGTTGGCATTACTACGTTCCGGTTTAGAAGGGTAAGGGTGCTGGTGAAATTACAGGCACATTGGACTTGACAACTTATAAATGTCTCAGGGTGACGGGCGCAGTGGCAGTGCCCCTCAGAACTTTGCGATTTAAAGCTCTGAGTGGCACGGCAACTGTTATGAACAGGCGTGTAGCTGACCATCAGGCGCACGAGTCTTTCGTCCCGTCACTTGATATTATAAAATAATACTCCACTGCAGTTGACACTTACAATTTCTTGTAGTTGTTTCTTTTCAAAACACTAACAATCTTAAGAAACAAAACTACAATTAATACTATCTTTTATCAAAATACACGATATTCGTCACGCGTCGTCGGCATGTACACACGCGTCATGGGCGCGTATACAATACGACGTGTGCATAGGGGGTGCCGAGCGCTGTTCGCGACGCCTCCAAAGAGTCTCCGTCACTCACCGCTCAAGCAAAGTAAACGGGCTACTGCTTCCCAACATCATTTATAATTGCACCATTTGAACCTGAATTTCCAATCATTGGGGAAAATACTGTAAATATTCCATTTCGATCGCATGCTTACTAGAGAGCGCCAGGGCATTGAATGCTCCCGGGCTAGCAGCGGCGCTGCTAATAACAGTACTAAGAGTACGCTAAAATATAGGAAACTTACTGGCTTTTCCCCATGATGCAGCAAACTGGTTAAAGGTAGAATTTGCTGGAGATGTGGGTTGAAGTTATGTGGACTCTTCAGATATAGAGGTAAAAGCTCCTCCTCTTGTCTTACAGCCACCACGACAGGATGCGGTGGAGGGATCGGTGTGCAGCTGGCCAAGTATGTGCTTGTTAGGACCAATAGTATGGATTTCATTGTAATATTCTAGAAAAAAGAGAAAAGGAGCATTTGTATTAGATAACCTTTACATTTAAAAACAAGTTACTAGTAGTACACTCGCAATATTAACTTAAAGGAAATAATAGAAAGAGCTAGTAGCTATTTATATATTGTTTACTTATTAGCACAATTCCTTGCACTGTTATCAGACAACGTTCGAAAGGTAGATCAATAAACTTAACATTGTTAAAGTGTGTACATAGGTACAAGATGTCTGAAAAACAAAGCACAAACAATTGCAGACGGGAATAAACAATAAAAATCACGATAAGTAGTTGCACATCTACCTGTTATCACGACGTTTCGATCGGGTTGAATCGGCGCGGTCAGGTGGTTACGGGTTAACTACGTCTATTGAAGTGGATTCTGTCGTTTGTTAACACGTGCAATTATTGATATAACGCAATGCGAATATTTAAAAGTAGAATTAGAGCTCCTTGTGAAAGAGTTCGTCCAGGGAAGCACTGCCACCTTGCCTCTTGGCAAGGGCGTGTTGCTTACCGCCGATTCTACCTTTAACTATGTTTTGTATTGTCACTGTTTTTATTAATTATTGTAACTGCCTCTGTGGCCGAACGGTTACCATGCCGGACTGCCACGCAGAGGTTCCAGGTTCGATTCCCGGGCCGGGAGAAATATTTGTATGACCTACATTTGTTTCTCTCGTGAGTTTGGGTGTAATTTGTGGTTGTCTATATGTGTGTCCATGGCACCCGCGACACAGGGTTTCCCTAGTGCGGGGCTATGTTGAGTGTGTGTGTGTGTGTGTGTTATTATTTTTTGTGTAATAAAGTTTTTCTACTCTATTCAAAATCGGGAAATCCCATCAATTCCAGTGAAATCACGAGATACACCTCTGTAGCCATTTACGAACTTGAGTCCGTCATTGTTAATTGAGATCTTGATTATTTCTAAGGTCGAAACAAGGCAGTTATTTACATTTATTAACTTTGGGAACGATGAATTAAGATAAGGTGTAATGTGAACTCTGTATTATGATTTTCTAATAGATAAGTCTTTTAATTGTTACTGTATTCTAGTTAACAGTTGTGAACTTAGGCCGACATTTGTTTACATTAAAAGTGAACGGCTGTGGTAAGGCATAAATTCTTACGAATCTTCGCAAATTTTCGAGAGACCTTACAATTATTGAAGATCGGTAAATGCGTACGCATCCTAATTTGCGCGTGAGCAACATTGCCGCGTGCGTTCTAACAATGCTTCAAGGTCGGCAGATCCAAATTAAACGTTACTTTCAAAACGGACAATAATAAAGCTGGTTGTTGGTTGGTCAATCCTCGAAACAGTTCCTTATTAGGGTAATTCTAGTAATTAGCTATATTAAAAAATTGCATTTTACGAAACGTCGTGGGAAATTACTTGTGCTTCCGGGGCAGATGAGCGGTTGAATGCAAAGTTTGAGAAATATAGTAAGTACTTGTACAGTAACTATTGTGAATAGAACTAATTGTAAAACTAAATTGTCTTTGGTAAAAAAAGTTTAAGTTAAATAATGAATCACTTAAGCATTTCCAATAAAGAAGTTGTTTTTAAGTTAAAAGCCGATGTTAAAATGTTGCTATTAAAATAACCTTAACTACGTAATAAAATTTTCCAATATTATCATTCCTACGTTACACTGCCTAAAATTGCTAGATAACTAAACTTTGCATAATGAAAATTTATTTACCTCTTAAACCCTAACAACAATAAATTAACAAACACTGTAGCACTGAACACTAAATAAACAAAACACGATCACTGGCACACTGCACTCATTTCGATAATCGCTTTACTAAATGACAGATGTGATACAGTCTTTAGAAGACAGCTGAATCCATTCACGTTTGGTAATCATTTGCAGGTTTGTCTGCTATTCCGAAGAGAACGGAGCCTTACCCACCACTCAGCGATTGCATCAACGTTCCAAGTTTTTTCCCCACGCACATTCATTTGTTTTATATTTATCGAAAAATATGCATGTTATGTAAAGGTTATATCGTGACCGTGGTTGACCATTGAAAAGGGCTTTTGCTAATTTGGTTTCCATATAAACCATAATAATATATAAGTACATAGGCATATTATTATGATTTCCTAGAATAATAATAATTCATGAATATTTCCTATGTATGTACTAATTTTAATATACTCGTACATATCGTCGGCAAAATTTGGAAACCTCGTAACTACGTTTGTGGACGAAGTCCCTTTTTTACTATCAATCGCAACGGGCTCTTTTAATTATAAAATAAAGGTATAAAATCATTGATTATCATCCATAATTTATTTCTAATAATTCTGTTTTTTGTGCCTACTCAGTAGGCCACATTAATGGACGAACTGACTCCGTGGCAGAACGGTTACCATGCTGGACTGCCACGCAGAGGTTCCGGGTTCGTTTCCTGGAACTGGAGAAATATTTGTTTGGCCTACATTTATTTCTCTCGTGAGTTTGAGTGTAATTCGTAGTTGTCCATGTGTGTATCCAAGGCATCGGCGTTACAAGGTATTCCTACTGTGGGGCTTTGAGTGTGTGCGTCAATAAAAGCAAAAACAACAAAACAAGGTTTACAAATTTTGCTGACATAATATTAGATTAAAATATCAGAAAGGAACCTTTTTCACTAGTAAGTTACAGCCTATTGTTCTGTTTGTTTCCATTAACCGCATTGTTAAATGATGTAGGCAATCAACGCAATATCTTATCTCGATTACCGACCACGTGGCTATTAACATACATTTGAAATTTAGTACACGCTAGCCTCAAGGCACCAGTTTTACTACTAACGTTTGCAACATTTGTAAGTGATGTCCGAATGTTACCCGAGGGCACAAGCCTAAAGGCCCATCTCCACTGTCGAGTTTAAACCGAGAGTAAACTTACCAGTTTTGCGTGTGCAGTTGTAACAGGGTGGACGGAAAACCTGTGGAAACCTGAGACGCGGCTTGATGCAACGATGCAGCGCTATCATTTTACATTTTACTGCGCAAACTTATTTATGTAGTTTTACTTATTTTACATTTGAATCGTGGTGCGACTATTTAATGAATTTGATAATAAATTGATCGATTATGAATAAGGTTTGTACAAGATAACGATTGCAGTTTTTCGAAAAGTAAAATAATAATAATAATAACGCACACCCTCAACATAGCCCCGCACTAGGGAAACCCTGTGTCTGTGTCTGGATCAGTACAGGTAACTTGCTTTTAAAAATAAAATAATGTCTCTAAGAAGCAATATATCCTACCTACACTATTTGAAGTACCTACTATCCCTCCGTGTCGCATAGCCGTGGGGCAGCCTGTTTAGCTACAGGGGAAAGAAATATGAAAGAAAATAATTTTGAGTGCCAATATTAGATACCTTAAAATAAATGACGGCAGAACCAATTACTAGTAACTTATTTCTGATAATATACAAAATTTAATCTAGCTCATTACTTCTCCGGCAAATGTGCACAAAGAAGCTTGCGCAAGTTTAATTTGCGCGTATGGCCTCGAAGGTTCCGCGTTCCGTTTTGCCTGCAAGTAAAAATGTGTTCTGGGGGTCGATTCAGAACCTTACGATAACTCAGTTGTCGACCAACTCGATTTGATATCGTGATTTTCATTTTTTTTTATAATCTATTTCACCTACTAACTCCGTAAAAGGTGTTGGATAACGATATCGTATCCGAATCCGAATCAAACATTTAACTGGAATATTCTGAATAGCTCGGATAGCGCTCTTCAATTTTTAGAACGATATCCAAGCGAATGATTCGGTTCAAATATCGAAGAGTTCAGAATACAGCCGCTGGAGGTAAAGATCATTCGTGTATTCCGAGTCTTATATAATAACGCTTACCTTCCACTAAAGAACTACGGTTCAATTGAAGATGTTTGAGAGTTAATATCAAGCTCTTTGAGCATAAACAGTATGAAACTGTTTAAACTTTAGTTTGTTTGATTGACTTCTAGGCTTGGATTTTATTTATGTGCTGGATGATGTTGTTTTACCTTAGTAAAGAGGTAGGTATGCAAATATTGGTTAGCAAAGCGACCGGGATGTTAAGAGCTGGATCATACTTTAAACGAGTAGACTTTAGATTTAAAAAATAAGTGATGGTGTAGTATATTTTTAATACTTTTTAATTAAATGACTTAAGTTTTAAAAGTCTCGATATTCCGAGACTGAAAACATCAGTCTCGAGTTTCGAAAATATCTAAAAATTGTCGAGATCTCAAAGTCGGGAAACGAGACGAGACGAGACGAGACGAGACGAGACGAGACGAGACGAGGAGACGAGACGAGACGAGACGAGACGAGACGAGACGAGACGAGGAGACGAGACGAGACGAGAGAAGAGAAGAGAAGAGACTAATGCTAAATTAACATTAAGTACAGTCAATTCGGGTAACTTTGAATCGTGGTGTAACTTTGAACGTAGTTGCGTAAAAGATTTAAAAATTTATTTTATGTATGGCGATCTTTTATTTTTAGTATTGAAACTGTGTAAATCGGAACAAAATTGTTAAACGAAAGTTATGAAAGAAAAAAGTAATGTTAAATTGTATTTTTTTAAACTTTCGCGGTTTTTTCTTGGCGAAAGTAGTTTGGTGTGATTTGTTGCTCAGTTTTAGAATCGGAATTAAATATGTAAATCTGAATATTGACTGGTAAGTTTTGGTTTCCACACTTAAGTAGAGGTTTATATATCGCTTTTTTAAAGAATAATTTATTTTGGTTTTGTATTTACGCGTAAAACGAATTAGATTTTGAAGACGTTACCAAACAGAGAAATTTGGGTAACTTTGAATGTGTTTGACTGTGTTTTTAGAGAAGAGGGTAGTCTGTTTCCAGGGAGAGTTCTAAAAGTTACTCCTTTGGAAATTACTGTCTCAGTGTTCCAAAAATGCTTTTTAGGAGGTTGGTCTTGGCCCTCTAACGTTGAGACATGTCAAGTTAATAAAGCCGATATTGTGAATAT